AGTAATCAGACAAGCATAGTGCAAAGGAATAATAGCTCCTTTGTGGGGCTAATTGGAATGGACAGTCCATCGGCTAGTTTGGGGCTCCTCACAGTTGGGTATTCCCAGACTAGTTGTGCCTTGTGCCCAGAGCTTCCAAACACCCACATAGACCCAGCTTTGGTAGTCATTTCAATTAGCTTTAATGAGCTGTGAATGAGCACCAAGGAGAACCGAGTCTGGGCCTGACCTGTTTTGCCATTGCCCAGATTTTGCTTAAGGCTGTGGCAGCAGATCTCATCCAGAACCTTTGTCAGGTGCCAGACCCTGGGTAGCACCAGGCAGAGCATCTCCAGGGAGAGCTGTGTCCAAACTCACCCATCCTGTACAGGACCAGAGGGATGTGAGATGGGCAGATAAATGGTACCAGAAAGCAACGAGTTTTGCAGAAGCAAGGAGGAGGGGAAGCAAAAAAGCAGCAGCTGAAGGAGCAACCAGAAATCAGAGCTAGTGCTATTGTGCCTACTCCATCTGGATTTCTTCCTGAACGCTCTGTCCCTCCTGTTCCCACATATACACCTCTGGAACAAGCCCCAGTCTTCTCCCCAGCAGCAGGAGCAGCACATTCCATGGGCTACATCACCTATAGCTCCTGGGAGATACACAGGATGAGTTCTACTTGCTCACCGACTGCTGGCCATGCTTGCAGTTGATACTGTAGGTGCAGCACCTTGATGGCCATTTGTTTGCCCTGTGCTGGCTAGGAATTAATTAGGAGATGGGCTCCAGGCTGCCGTGACAGCTGTCTGCGTGCGGCACTTCCCAGCAGTTTGATTAAATCTGTGACACTCCAGATGTGAGCGCCCTGTGCAGCGGCACATGGTTTGCTCTTAAACTCCACTTAAACCGTGACTGCTCTTCTGGTTTTAATCAAAGGCAAATGCCTTAAGACAGAAATCTGTGCAGAGGAATTAGTAGGAATGTCTCTGGGGCGTGTGGAGTGGGACATGGAAAGGGATCCCCTGTGCCAAATTAGGGCTGACAACGCTTGCAGTAAGCTGGGCTGGCAGTGCTACAGCGTTGAGCAGGTGGTGCGTGGCCAGCTGTGGCTGCGCTTACCCTGCAAACCCTCTGCTTCACCCACATCCAGAGCTGCAAACGAAGCACTTCCCACAGCCTGACAGCGTCAGGAGCACAGGTTCCCTGATTCATTTAGCCTGTTCACGCTGCCTGCAAATCCATCACCCCAAAATGGATATACTTGGCCACTACACTCACCTATTCCAGGAGTGCACACATAATCCACCACTGAGCCCTGCTGCAGCCTGAGGAAGGTCTCATTGCGTGTATCTCAAGGAGGAGGTTCATCTGTATCTTAGAGGTGGGGATTTAGCCTTGCAAAACACAGGTGTGACTGCCTGCAACACCCCCCTCTTTGCTGCCTCCTCCCCTAGCTGTGGCCTGTTTCTCAGCTCTTTTTCACCCATGTGCCAGAGGCAAGTTCCCAGCAGGTTGTGGAGGAGGCAGAAGAAAAGCCCTTTTTCTTCTGTCCACACTTATTGGGGTTCCCACCCTCACCAAATCGTCTGTGTTGCCATCAGCTGGCTGCTCACCTTGCTGCACTCCACTTCTGGTCACCCTGCACGTGTGCAAGGCCCGCCATGGCCACCAACAGGCTGGCTGAGCTTGCCCTGCACAGAAGGCACCCAAGGGCTGTGGCACCATCATCTTCCCTGGGGACCAGGCTCCAACCTGCTCCTGTGCTGGCGTGTCAGGAGCTGATGCAGGTGTGGGGAGGAGCACTGGGCTGTGACCGCTGGTGCAGGTACAATGATGGTTGTGTGATAAGAGCTGGGCTTTTGGAGATGGGCTCTCCATCCACCCAGAGCTGCCTGAAACTGTCAGATGGTCCTTTATTATTGACCTGATTCATATCTAAACCAGGGAGGTGAAAGCTGTCTTATCCCATTACTAATCCCCTAAACCAGGCCCTTCAATACCTTCTCTTCGCTGCCCCCTCCTCATTGCTACAGCAGGTGGTTGCAGGGTGAGTGCACATCCTTCTGGGGCTTTCCCTGAGCCCCGTGGTAACACAGGAACTACAAAAACCCACCAAATGCTGGCTCTGGAGTTATCATCAGCTGAGGGGGATTTACCAAAATGCTGCACATACCTGTAATCCCCTAAGGACTCGGAAGGCTTGTTTCTGGGGTCTGAGCAGGACAGCTCCAGGCATCCATCCCATCATGCGTGCCCTCCATCCTATAGGTCATGGCAGGTGTCTGACACTGTGGTGGAGCAGCCATGGGGAGCAGGGCACAGCCTGGGGACCGTCCCACCTTGCTGTGTCCCTAGTCCTGCAAAGTGCAGCAGGGATGGGAGTGCTCCAGCAGCAGCTGCAGGCAGCGCTCACCCCCTGGGACACGGACAGGGTCCTGTAGCCTTGGGCTGCTCTGGTGGAGCCCCATGGAGATTCTGGCTGCTGGGGCACCTTGAGGCTGCTGGGCCTGCTGGCACAGGCACCCTGCCCATGGAGAGGGGGGGCAAACCCCAGGGAAATTAGAGCAAGGGGCGATGTTTGATGTTCTGCTCTTTAAGCGATTAATAATCTTTCGGCGTCGGAGAATCAGCTGAAAATCTTCCTTAGAAAATAATGAGCAGAGAAACATTTACTGATTAGTCTAATCCCAGCTAATCCTATCTGATGAGCATATATCAAGATATCCTTTAACTGATTTATTGTCCAAAGGACCAGTGGAGATGTACGTCTTCAAAATGGCTGGGGGAGCAGGGGGTGGCAGCAGGAGTGTCCCCACACCCCATCCCAGTGTCCTGTCCCGGGAGCGGGTGTGTCCCCATCCCCCAGGGCACAGCCTCGGTCACCCTCACCCTGGGCAGCAGCGCCATATCCAGGCCACCTTGCCAGCATGGGGAGATTTAATCGCTATTTCCATTTCTGCATCTATCGGCTTTCTCTTGGGTTTGAGCTTTTATGTTTCATAAACTGATTAGGAGCAATTATACATGCTTTATCCCCAAACTTTCCAAATGCCTAGGCCATATGCATATTTAAGGCTTCATCATCTCTCCCAACAGCTCAGCCTCAATGTAAACTGCTGAAATCAAGCTGATTCTGGGACAACATCAAAAATTAGGGTTTTAACCACTAATATCTGCTCGAACAGGAAATTTGTTGTGGGTGGTGGCCGGATTATGACTTCTAATTACTGTGGCAGATCCTCCCTGCCTAGCAGTGAAAGTCTCCTATTTCAGCAAAACTGCAGCAAAACCACCCTGGAGAAGTGAAAATGCCCAAGGGGATCCCGGGGTGCTCTGTGCCTGGGTGGGGATGCCCCAAGCATCCCTTCATCCTGAGCACGTCCTGAGTGTCCTGAATTGGTGGCTTGGGAAGTGTGACCACCCTCCCACACTCCCCATTCACCTCACACCCATTTGCCTTTCTTGGTGAGGAGCACGATGGTCCAGAGGATCCCCCCGCCAGCCCCCAGCGCCGGCCACGGCAATTATCCTAAATGAAAGTTATTGTTCTGCTAATCCCGGGAACAGCTTGCGATGGGAGATTTGGGTCTTTCTTTAATAATGCAAAGTTAATGCGGAGTCCCCTTGTAATTATCTTTATCAGAAGGACCCTCGGTTAATCTGACCGCCCAATGAAGGCCTGGATCAGGCGGCCCGTGTAAGCCGGTTGTAAATCATTTCCATCAACAGATGAAGGGAAGGGGGAAAAAAAATTGCAGCCCAGGTGCAAGAATCTGGGAGCAAAAGGGAGCACAGAGGCCAGGCACCTCGAGGTGGCCCTGGCCCCGGTGACAAGACACCTGGAGTCAGGGAGGGTCCTGCCCAACAGCCCCTGCCTGTTCCCACACCTGTCTCTAGGATGCTGAGCCCAGTGGGATGTCCCACCTGGGATGTGGGGCTGAAGAGTCTTGGGCTGGAATGGGGGTACTGGGGAGTGCACTGCCGGGCACTGGAAGCGGGGATATAGGGACATAGCAGGAGGTTCCTGAGAGGTAACCGGGAGAGGGAACCCAAGGGGATGTGACGGGGGTGTAAGGGGAATGGGGGGAACAGGGTGACGGGGCCGGGACGGGACAAGCACTGAGAGGGGGTCCCGGAGAGGATCTGAGCGAAACCGCAGGGGACCCGGGGGGAAGAGAGGATGAGGACCGAGGGGCGGGGGCCGAGGGGAACGGAGAGAGGGAGGGACGGCGAGAGGGGGCGGTGGGGCCGGGCGGTGACCTGGGAGGGCCGGGGGAGGGACGCGGGGCCGGTGCAGCGGGAGGGGGGACAGGGGCCGCTAATCCGGGGATTGGGAGCGCCCCCCCGCCGGTCTGGAGTGTGATTGGAGCCGGCACCGGCGGCGGGACGATAAAAAGGGCGGCGGGCGGTGGTGGCCGGGCCAGGCGGTGGCGATGCCGGGCCGGGCGGAGCCGTCGGGGGGACGCGCGGCGGCGCCGGTGGCGGTGCCCGTGCCGGTGACACCGGGGGCGGCGGCGCGGCCGGGAGGCGCGGGGCTGCGGGCCAAGGGCTTCGCCATCACCGACCTGCTGGGGCTGGAAGCCGAGCTGCAGCCGCCCCCCGGGCCCCCCCCGGCCGCCACCGCCGGTGGCTACGAGGGCGGCGGGGCGCTGGGGCTGGGTTTGGGGCTGCTGTGCAGCCTGGGGGGGCCGGGCGCTCCGTGCCTGCTGCCCGCCCCGCTGCCGCTCCTGCCCGCTCGCGGCCCCCGCCCGCCTCCCGGGCCGCCTCCCGCCGCCCGCCGCCACAAGGAGAACATCTCCGGTGAGCGGGGTCGGGATCGGGGGTGGCCTCTCAGGCGCGCACGGGGACCCCGGTCCGGAGCCGCTGCCGGGGCCGCCTCGCACCTGCGGTCGCGGACAGCATCCTCCCGATCGGCTCCCGTGCTGCCCCGTCCCGCCGGGATGCCGAGCCTTCGAGCCTCCGGCAAGTGCGGGCTCCCACCCCCTGCCCCGGGATGGTATCACCGGTGCGGCGCCTGGGGCTCGGCCGTGGGAGGGGACCCCGCCCCGGGCCCGCTGCCCGCGGGCGGCCGCAACCGAGTTTGGGGAGCTGGGTTCGGTTGTCCCGCTCTCGACCGGAACGTGACTCTTCTCCTCCCGCATGCTGCTGCCAGATGAGGACAGCCTGTCTGGGGACGCCAGCGACTTGAAGATGTCCAGCTCCCAGATCAAGAGGAAGAAACGCCGGCACAGGTAGCGCCCGGGAGCCAGGCTGTCCCCGTTCTCATCTCCTCGCTGCTGCCACCATCCTCCCGCTGTTCCTCTGATCCTCGGGCTGGGGCGGTCGGTAACCCCGAGGGGGATAAAGGGAGGAAAAGGAGGAAAGAGGAGGGCTGCAGCTGGGGTCGGAGGAGGATTTTTCTGGAGGAAAACCTCAGCCTGGGGGGCGCTACCAGCCTCGCTGTTTGCCCAAGGGTCAGGACGGTGTGACAGAATGCTCTCTCGTCTCGGCAGGACGGTATTCACAGCTCACCAGCTGGAGGAGCTGGAGAAGGCTTTCAATGAAGCGCACTACCCCGACGTCTATGCCCGGGAGATGCTGGCTGTGAAGACGGAGCTGCCGGAGGACAGGATACAGGTAGGTCGCTGCAGCGGTCCTCTCTCTTCCGTAGAGTCTGCGGGCTACCAGATCCGGCCCTCTCCTCTGCTCTGTGGCAGTGAATGCAGGTGGTGGGAACGTGGTGGCACTGAAACGCTGCAGGGCGCCTGGGGGAGGCTCAGCCTCTGCCTGCTGGCACCAAACAGCCTCCAAATGGACATACAGAACCAGGGGACTGAGCTGGCCCCAGCAGTTGCTCACTGCTGGCATCTTGGCTCTGTCCTCCCACTCAGGCAGGAGCTGGGAGTGATTCGGAGCTGCTGGGCCAAGCTGTGACATAGGAGCTTGCTCACTGGCTTGCCCTTTTGAGGGACACGTGGCGTTTTAGGGCCTGATCCTGCTCCCCTGTGGAACAGTTCAGTGGCTTAAGAATGAGGTGGCGGTCTGGGCAGCAGCCTGATTACATTTACACTCCTCAAACCTTCAAACTCAGGAGTGGGGTGGGAAGAGGGACCTGAGCATCTTCTGTCTTTGTTGGTCACTGCATTATGGAGCCCTTTTTCAGGAAAGGTTGGTGCTTTGTGTATCAGGGAGGCCCTGCGGGCTGGCGGAGCAGCGTAGGGTGACTTTGGCTGGTATCATCTTCCTGTGCCACGATCAGCCTCATGTTAACATGTGCTCCCTCTCCCTCCCTTCCTCCCCTCTCTGACACCCACGTGTGTGCCCTCCCTCACACCCCTCCCCACATGCCGCCCTGGCTGCCCTCCGGTGCCACCTGCACCCCGTGTCTGCACACCCCACCCCTCCACGCACCCCCACGGCTCACCTTTTGCCCTGGATGGACATTCCCTCATTCCCGATGGGCCCTGGACACCTGGCCACCATGGGGGCTGTCTCCTCGCCAACCCCACCCCTCCGTGCTCTCCTGGCTGTTACCCCTGAAGGTTTGGTTTCAGAACCGAAGAGCCAAGTGGCGGAAGCGGGAGAAGTGCTGGGGCCGGAGCAGCGTGATGGCCGAGTACGGCCTCTATGGGGCCATGGTGAGGCATTCCATCCCTCTGCCCGAGTCCATCATCAACTCTGCCAAGAGCGGGCTGGTGGGATCCTGCGCCCCGTGGCTGCTGGGTGAGTGGCAACTTGGGGTGCTGCTGGGGGGATCAGGGCTCAGCTTCCTCTTTCATATGGCTGCCCTTGGCTTTGTACGGAACGGAATAAGACCTCCCCAGCCCTGAGCTGTATGCAGGCTGCCAGGTACCCTGGGTTTTCCACTTCCTCCTTGCAAAGAGCAGCTAGGAAAAGGAAAACCTGTTACTGCTGTGTCAGACAGGTGCCTGCATGTGGGTGGGTATCCGCAGTGCTAGCAGGCAGCATGGGAGTTGCAAGGCATCAAAGAAGTCGCTGTCATCCACCCCTAAACTGAAGATCCTCAGAGCTACCCTCTGCTCGTACACAATCAAAATCCAGGTTGGAATGGGTCATTATAGCACAAATCTCCCTGTAAGCCTTCCCTGCTACAGCAGAGGTACTAATTTTGCCACAAGCCATCCCCTCGGGCTGCAGAGAGCAAGTGGCAGGGCTCTGGGTTGGGAAAGGCTGGTAGCTAGAGAGGGCTTTCCCTGGGATGCAGGCAAGAACTGAGCAGTGATGCAGGATAAGCAACCAGTGCCCTTGGCTTTGCTGTCTCCCCTCTGCAAGGTATGCACAAAAAGTCCATGGAGGTAAGCAGGAAGGCAGAGAGCCAAGAGAAGCTGGCAGATGGCTGGCGAATGGAGCAGGAGGAGGAGGAACTCAAAGGGACGCAGGCCAGTTCCCAGAGGGGCTCCGACAAGCTTGGGCCTGCAAAAGACTCGGAGGACACAGCCATCGACCTCTCCAGGACAGCCAAGCACGAGAAGAGGGGTGTGCTGAGGCAATACATCAACGGGGACCCCCCCACAGAGCAGAACGACAGGGACCACTGAGCTTGGGCTGCCCCAGAAGAGGCCAGACCTCGCAGCATCCTGGCCAGACCATAATATTTATTGATTTATTGATATATATTTTTTTTTCTTAAATAACAGAATTTTTATCTGAATTCAGGGCATTTTAAAACTGGGCACACACATCCCCTTGTCCCCTCAAGCTGTTTGTTTCTCAGCAGAGCCAGGGTGGAGGGTGGCAAAGGGGGCCTGGCGGGGCCAAGAGCAGTGTGAGGATGGGAGTGCGTTTTGGTCAGCACCGACTGCTGCTGGGGAGGAGCCCCCTTCCCTTCCGTGCTGGGACCACTTCCCCAGCTATCCAGAAGCACAAAGAGGAGCAACACACTGGGAGTTGCTCCGTCCTCTAACACGCAGGTGCAAGGATGGTGCAGGAGTTTACAGACACCTTCTCCAAGTTCCACCCCGGCGCAGTGCCGGCCTGCGAGTCCTTCCACAGTTCTGCAGCACACAGTTCTCCACCTCGAGGAGCAGCAGGGTTTTTAAACATGACAGGGTTCATCCTCAAGCTGGTGTAACCTGACAGACAGGCAGGTTTATGCTCCCTGAGGATCTAGCCTGCCAATGCAGCCTTACCACTGGATTTACACTGTGCATCTTCCTTAACTCATATTTGGGAGAAGGGGGTAAGGACGTTTTTGTTTATGCAATGATTTTGTACACTCTTGAATGTCACTAGCCACACTATGCATGATAGAACACACCTTTTTGAAAAGCAAGCCATAATACCCTGGAGCAATTGAACAATTTTTGTGAATTGACATAAGAAGATATTTTGTAATTGTCTGTAAAAAGTGTTAATGTCAGAGCTGTTTCTTGGTTGCCCTATATTTATGTCTAAAAGCACTTTAGTAATCTGGATTTTTGAATGTGGCTCTTCCTGTATTGTCCACCATTTATTTATTACACATCCATAAATAAAATTGTGGCGTATCTTTGTTTTTCATACTCTGTATTGCAATTTATACCTTCCTTTGACACATCTCATGGCAGTTGCTGGACTGGCCCATGCACATGCCTTGACAGCTCTCCTGGAACACCTCCAGTTTCATCTACCAGCCAAAACATAACGGAAAATTATCAAAAAGCTTCACTAAAATCTGAGTAATTCCAATTTGGAAAGTATCTTATACAGCTCAGAGGCTGTGTGGCCAGGTATTGATGCTGTCACCTCATCCTGCCTCTGCTGCTGGGCCTGGCTGCTGTCACAGGCTGTGCTGGACAGGATAGGGGGAGAGTGGGGGAACAGTTCCTGGGAAGAGCAGAGCAATAAGTGGCACATGCAGATTTCCTGCTTTTCCCCTCCTTTGCTCGACCAGACCCCACCAGGCAACCGGGGGGGAGAGATAACATACGCATGGCAAATACAAGCTTTGCAGAAAAAAAAAAAAAAAAAGTTTGCTGGGGGGGCTGTGGGGAGCACGGTTCAGGAAAGGACCAGCCAGGGCTTATTGCAGCAGCAATTAGGCTCACTGAGAGCCGAGACTTAGCACATTGGAGGCCTAATCCTGCCTGAGCAGCATCTGCAAACCTTTTATTTGGGCTGTGCCACGCTGGCACTAGATGCTCGCAATCCTTTTATTTTTTTTCCCCTTTGGTCTGCCTGCGTGCAGATGGCCTGGCTCTTTGCCTTGTGCTGGCTGCAGCGCTGTGAGAGCAAGCACGTCACCACCACGGGTGCCACAAGGGGAGACTCTGTCGCTCCAGCATGCACAGGCTGAAGCCCACTCTCGCTTCTGGTAGTGCCTGGTGGGCTCCCAGCTCGCATCACATGCTGGGAAGGAGGAGCCAAGAGGAGGGCTACTGGCCCGAGGCACTTTCCATGTGCTGGCAAGTGACTGTGGGGTACAGGTGCTGGTGGATGGCAGTGACCGGCCAGGCTCAGCTCCTGGTGACAGGGTGTGGTGCCCTCCTTGGAGTCACTTAGCCCTTAGTTGCCTGTGCTAAGCCTGGCAGGGAAGTGTCCACTGTCCTCTAACATCACTGCTTGGAGCAGCAATAGCAGCAGGGCAGCACATTCCTGTTGCTTCAGGTTTGATCCATCCAGACCCAGCCATGGCTCCTGCCAGTGCTGCTTCAGGCCTGGGCCAGTGACAAGAGTGTGACAGCAAAACCCTGATGTAAAGCACTGGCTGCCACTTGCACACATCTGCCCGTGGTGACCACAGCAGGGCCAGGTGCCATGAGCTTCCCTTCGTAAGGAGCCCTGGGGGTCCCTCAGCTTTAAGGGTTGGGCTTGCTCAAGCAGGAGGTCCCTTCCATGTGGCGCGGCCAAGAGAAGTCAGTAAATTCAAAGCCAGTGTTCACACATGCAGATCTCTTTACAGACTGTCAGGCACCCGGGGGTGCAAGGCAGCAGTGGCGGTGTCCCAGTGATGCACCCAGAGCAGAGAAGGCTGCAGGGCTGCATTTGCAGAAGCATCTTCACAGTGCCATTTCCACACAGCTTTAGCAACGTTAATATCTAACTGTGCCACTTTGTTTTGGCCAATCCTCCCCAGCCGCAGCCTGGGTTTTCAAGCAGGGAGCGGGTCCGAGCGCTTTGTAAGCGCTCCCTCGTGT